AAAACTCTTCTAAACTTCAAACCAAAAGCCAAAATCAATCTAAATGGATTGAAAACTTTGACAACAATGAGCTAAATTTTGGTAAATCCGAGAATATAATTACCTTGGAGTGCTGCCAAATATTATCCTTAAAATCCAACTTGGAAATTGTAATATTGGGATCTCTTGATGAAACATAAACTTGTTTAGCTACCGTAGAAATTTCAATAGAAATATCAATTCCACTAGGCCCATCTCCAATCACCACCACAATCTACACACTCCCAACACATAGAAAAACAAATTATTTTCAATCCTTGTTACATTTTTCGTTAAAACTGAATCCGAATCCTTATCGATATATAGTACCTTATCTTGAAATAGCTCGGGACCTCGATAGTTATGACTATGCAACTGTTTTCCAGGCCATTTTTCAATGCCTGGAAAAATTAACTAACTAATCATCATTATTCATTATTATACAAAATCGATAGAAAACAAATAATACCTTGAAGATGAGCTAATCTTGGTTGAGTATGGTGCCCATTACAAACAATTACTGCATCAAATACCTCTTCGGAGCTCAACCCATTCGATCTCGACTCAACAACCCATTCATCACACCTCGAATCGACCCGCTCCACTCGGGTAACTTCAGAACCGAATCGGATCAACTCAGTGAGTTCGAACTCCTCGGCGAACTCGATCAGAAATTGGAGCACCTCTTCATGCTTCGGGAATGTTCTGTAGTAGGAATCAACAACATTTTTTCGGGTGCGAAATGGATAGTCCCAAAATCCCATAAGCTGTCTAGGGAGGTTAGTGCAGAGCGAAGGATAGAGGCTGCCATGAACGATTTCTCTGTTCGGGTCGAGACCTAATGGGTCGGATTCAACCCGTGGATCGTAAACCCAGGTTCCACCGAGTCGGTCAGATTTTTCGTAGACTACTATTTGGTGGTTGGCCACCGATTTGAGAGCGCGGGCGGTGGCTAGTCCTCCGACTCCGGCGCCGATCACCGCCACCTTGAGTGGTGGTGCGGCCATAAAGTATTTTGACGTTTGTTGATTTTGCGGTGGAATTTAGCAGAGAGTAGTGGTTACATTACATAACAATTTACTTATGACAGATGACATCTTCTTATCTATATATGTTTATTGACAGACAACAAACTCATCAGAAAAAAAGTTTTTAAGTTTTTTAGAGCACTTATTAGGCCATCTCCATCCCACAAATAATTGAGGTTGCCAACTTTCGAATTTTACGTCTTATTTCTCACTAACGTGCAAATTTAGGGGGGAAAGTGTTTTCCTTTTTCGTAAATTCTTACTTAAATCGGGTTCGGTCAATTTCAAAATTATTACACGGCAATTGCAATATACTTTTCATGTAGTAGGATGAGTTTGGCCAAACCACAATCAAAAGATATTGGTCAAGATTAAAAAAATCAAAAGATAGAAATACCTATGCAGTTTGATATTATATTTATGAGTCAAATTAAACCACGTTATAAAAGTAAAAATCATTTAAGATAGAAATACCTATGCAGTTTGATTAAACCAAGTTATATAAGTAATAATCATTTACTACTTTGTATCAATCACTGCTAATTAGCAGTTTGTGCAAAATACAAACCACAACTTGAAGTAATGCTAGAAACATTTATGGCTAAAAGACGTGTTGAATATTCTATATTTCTCACCATGGCTTACAGTCGTGCGAATACATTCGTCACATCTCCACAAACAGGGCCGACCCTGAGTTTTTGATGACCCTAAGCCAATTTAAAATTGTGGCACTTAAATTTATATGCTCGCTTTGTAAAAACATCGGTAATACGATACACAATTTTATTTAATAAGAAAATGATTACATTTGTGAATGAGACGTAAACACTTAAACCCTAAATAAAATATTACTCTCCTAGATTTTTTTGAAGCAAAATCACTAATTACATTTTCATAATCAATCTTCTTTACCATATCTTTTTCAATTGACAAGATGACTAACTCATTCAACCTATCTTGTGGGGCCATCTCCAACCGAACACAATGCCCAATTGCCTATTTGACCCCTTTTTTTGCCCAATTAACCTTTTGCCCAATTAAAACATCATCTCCAACCGAAGGGCAATCAACATCCATTAAATTCAATTTCACAACTTTCTCCACTTTCCTCACTCTCACTTATTTTAATAATAGTAATGATATTAGTATTATTAATTTTAATAAAATAATAATAATAATAATTTAAACTAATCACTTTATTAAATCTAATACAAAAAAAAAACAATTTTATTAAAAATAAATAAAACTAACTGTAATTCATTTATTCACAACTTTCCGCACTCTTACTTTTATTGTATGAATTTTATGAATATAGATATTTTAAATTTCACAATTTAAATTAGTCACTTGATTAAAGCGAACATAAAAAAAGAATAAAATTTTATTTAAAAAAAAGTAAAAAAAAACTAAGCAATGGCACCTCCAGGCATACGCGCAGCAATTGCCCAGTCCCCGCCCCACACCCCTCTGCCCGCTCTGTCCGTTGTAACTGTTCAATTCCCCCTCCTCTTTTTGTCATTTCAAATCGAAGGTCGTCGACAAACTCCCCTCATGCCCGGTTGCCTTGTCGGTTGGAGATGGCCGGACATGGTAAATCGGAGGTAATACTTAATTTGCTTGTTTAGATTTGTTTCCAATGTACTTTATTTTCCCGTTGAAGTTGTAGTTTGGTTATTTACAACCTTTTTTTTTCTTTTGTTATTCAATTGGTGGTATAACACGCTACGTATAAGCGTGTAATGTTTTATGTAATTGTAGTTTAGTCGATTTCGAACTCTCTAAATTTGTTTTATTACCTTTAATTTCTTTTTTCTCTCTTCTTCTTTCCTTGTTTTTCATCCAATTTATCAAAACCTTCATATCTCCATTAATTCAAGAATTTCAAACATTCAAGATTGAAACCGAAGAATTGACCGAGAGAAACCGAAGGAGAAAAAAAAGGGGTGAGATTTGATTTTTTTCCCTTTTCTAATTGATTTGTTTTTTGAAACAAATTGTGAAATTGAAATGATGTTTGATTGTTTTGTTACATTTTAGTAATTTTGCTTTTTGTGAGAATAATTCTTCAAAATTTATAATATGATTTTTTTTCTGGGAATCCCCCGCACATACGCGGCTTACCTTCAGGGCGGACCTTAAAACTTTTTGTCACTACATTTGTGCGTGGTTGATACTCAAAGTCTTCTTGTGATTTCAATCTTATTAGAAAAAAAAAATTGTAAATCATTTCGAAGCAAAAAAAAAATTCTTGAAGAATTTTGATCTTGTCTTTTCCTTATACTCCCTCCGTTTCATATTAATTGGCACATTTGTCAATTTTTTTTTATTTCAAATTAATTGGCATGTTTGGGTTTTTAAAGTATTTTTTTTCAATTTTGCCCCTTTCTCTCATTGTAGTTGGAAAACTCCATGGTCACCACTCACTAATAAAAAATTAAAAAGTAGCTATCATTATAAAGAGTATTTGAGATATTTTCTCTACTATTATTATTTATATATATATTATTATTTATTTTTATATATTATATTATATTATTATTATTATTATATTATATTATATTATTATATATTATAAAAGCATGAATATTTCTTAACTTTTTTATACAGACTAAAATATCCCTAATTTAATTAAATGGTATTTATATGAAAGATTAAAAGTAATTGAAGAGGTATAGTTAGACATGAAGTCTTATTATATTTATCTCCTACATAAACTCCTAAAATTTATGAATTATCTCTTACATCAATTTTTGTAATTTTAATCTTCTTCTCTTATAATAGATAAAAACATACCATAAGAAAACACTGTTATTTTAAATAACCCCTAAAAAATATAAATATTATTATATTTTAGCATCAATATTTATTAAAGTAAGAAAATATTAATTTAAATATATATTACAACACAAATCATAAACACTCTAAATATAAAAAATTAACATGAAATTCTCTTAACTATCATTCTGTTACAAAAAAATTAAAATTGAATCGCATCTTACTATAAAAGAATAAAAAATTCTTATGACTTAACTAATTACGTAATTTTACTTTGACTAGAATAAAAAAAATATACAAAATATTCAATGATATCAAAACATGCATAACCTCGAATTTTCATGGAATTCTTTTCGTGAAAAAGGGTGAAATTGGTGGAAAATGGTGAAATCGATAAAAAAAATCTATGAAATCATTGAAAACATGTAAAATCGATGAAAGTTCTGGTAAAATTGGTAAACACTGGCGAAGTTGGTGAAAATTTGGGTGAAACAATTAAAAAAGTTTCCTTGAAATCGATAAATACATGTGAAATCAATGAAAATTCGAGAAAATAGGATTAAACCGGTGAATCAACAACATTAGTGAAAAGCAGGTTAAATCGGTGAAAAAATGAATACAGTCGGTGAAAATCTGTCAAATCAATGAAAATTCGGGTGAAATTGGTCAAATGAACTTGTGAAATCAACGAAAAAAATGTGCGAAATAGGTGAATATGATAAAAACAAGTGAAATAAGTAAAAAAAAAAAAAGTGTAACCGGTAGAAAAATGGTTTAAAATCGTAAAAGCAGTGAAAATTAGTTATAACTGATAAAAATTAGGTAAACAGTAAAAAAAATATTAAAGTGGTAAAAGTGAAAAAAAATCGGTTAATAACAGGTTAAACCGATCAAAAATGAATTAATTAGGTGAAAACAAGTTCATTTGCTCTATTTTATGACATAATAAAATTATTATTCATCTAATTTATAAAAAATACCTATGAAATTAACTAGACACGTACAACGTATGTGCACTTTCCTACTACCATAAAAAAGTATGTAATTATGAGGTTTCTTAATCTGTGTGAAAAATAAGAATGTGTCAATATGAAACGGATGGAGTAATAAATAAAATAATTGATGTATGACGGTCCTGACATAATTCTTCTAGAAATTAATCTAAATTCTAAACAAGAAGCACCAGTGGTCTAGCTAGTGGTAGAATAGTACCCCTGCCGGTTGCCACGGTACGGACCCCGGGTCCAATTCCCGGCTGGTGCAAAAGCAATGATGATAGCTGCCGCCCATTACGACGGTCGCTTATCATCTGCCTCCAGATGAAAGATGGTGCTGCTGAGCTTTTCCATGAAAAGCAAAACAGACATTAATCAAATTATTATAATTCTTTTTTATAAAAAAAATTCTTCCTTTACATTACTCTAGTTCGAGACCGAGCCAAAATCCTTTTAAATGAGTTTTCGCCAAACCCATAAAACCATCAAAAACATATTCAGAAACTCACACCCAAACTCTTTAAACCTATAAAACATTGATTTGACACCTATCACCTACTTTTCCCCCAAAATCTCACAAAAAAAGACATTGATTTGACACCTATCACCTACTTTTTCCCCTAAACCCCAACATCCAAACTCAATCCAAGTGGAGTTTTTAACTTATTCAAACCACAAAACCCAACAACCAAAATCCATCCAAATTAGATCTCAAATGTTTCATCGAAACTACCCAAACCATTTATTTTTAAACCGAGACTCGCGAAACCGAGCCAAAACCCATCCAAATAGACCCTAAGGGTCTATGTGGCCAAAATTCCTCCAAATGAATTTTCGTCAAATCCATAAAACTTATCAGAAATCAACACCCAAACTCTTGAAAATTATAAAACTTTGATTTGACACCTACCATCTATTTTTCCCTCACAAACTCTATAAAAAAGACATTGATTTGACACTTACCACCTACTATTTTCCCTAAACCCAATCCAAGTGAAATTTCAATTTTTTCAAATCCCAACATCCAAAACCTAACCAAATGAAGTTTCATTAAAACCACCCAAATCATTTTTTTTAAACCGAAACTCGCAAAACCATGCCAAAATCCTTTCAAATAGGCCATAAAATTGTCATTTCTAGAATTAAAATTTTTATGAGGTTATTTTTTCAAAAATTAAACTGTCTATAAGGTCATTTTATAAAAAATCACTCTTTCAATCTGCACCATAAGTATTTAACATTCATCAAGCTTCATTAAAAAATTATACTAGATAGGAGTACTAAAGAAGAACACATTTTACTAAAAGCTCATCGTCATTAAGCCATCAAAATATACTTTTGAAAAATTAATCCAAACTCATTGCACTAATTTCCAAAAACTCTTAAAAACCATCTAATTTTTAAAATTACTCGAGATTCAATTCAAACGAGCCCCACATATATTGAAAGATCTCATAATATAGCACACATAAGAACATATAAACCAATCCATGAAACTGCGTCATTCATCCACGCTTTAATCAGCAATGATCTAACATAAACTCTACAGTCCTAAAGACAGAAGCACATTTGTAATTGTTATAAGATGCATACATAGGTTATAGTCTTCCTCTCATTCATATGCCTCGTTCGATCAGTTGCAAAAGTATCCTAATAGGGCTCATCTTGTGTCTGGTTAAGAAGGCTACACCTCATTTTGGGTTAAGGGCTTAGTTGAAATTTCTTCACTTCTATCAATTACACCTACCATGTCCAAGTTTGGATTCATTATGGCCTTAACAGGATGATGACACGATGATGCCCAATCCGCGCCTCACTTGTCCGACCCAGATGCCGAAGGACCTAAAAAGACCAAAAAAAAAAAAATAAGGAACCTCAACCATATTATTCGACTTTATTCAGCATGGAGTTATTACAAAATCTACTTTTTACAATGGTCACGCTGATGCCATGTTAGATTCTTGGATTCTAGTTAGGAAAATGATAAGAAAATTAAAAATGAACAAAAGTGAAGGACACTGTTACACGTTTGATACCAGAATAACATTTTCCTTAGTGTTATACTTGCCAAAATCCAAGAACCAGCATAGCCTTAATGTGCTATTGGTGTAATATGCAAGTGGAGTGCCAACCTTAGCAAGGGAAATAGCTTCAACTAATTTACACCCAATTATTATATGAGTAATGTTTTGTATTATGTATATCTTTATGTAGTAGAATCTTCAGGCCATTTTTCAAACAAATCAGGACTACTAACCGTTAATATTGCTCTTCCTGTGTTGTCAAGTTTCAAGGAAGGCCCTTTGATATCTGTTTCAAGAAAGAAATGCTTTCCCTTCACTTCATCTGTCACTGCAATCTCTCTCACTTCCTGCATATGATATACATTCATCAAATTTTTCATGTGGAATACCCTTGATATCTGAAGAGAAATATTGCAATGACAAGAAACAGAAAGATAAATGAGTGCTATGAATCTGACAGGATTGATGGTTAAATTGAAACTTTTATGCACAATACTGAATCCAATAGGGTCTTCCCACCAATTATCTATTGTATTGTTTCAGATTAGTAACTATTAAAAGTTTAAACATTACCACCTTGATACTGAGTTACAATGGTATTAGTGGGTAAGGCATCATTGTTATATCCTTTTAAGGAAGAAAAAAAAGTTGAGCACTAATTGCAGAATAAACTTACCAGAGCCCTATCCAGTTTTTTCTCTGTCAGCTTCACCATTTGAAAGAAAATAAAAGAAAGAAGAATCAGTACAAATGGATTGAGTTTTCAGGACAATATGACAAGAGTAAAGGAAAACCTTGTTTCTTGGTGCTGTAATAAGATGTGCATTTGCTTCAGCATATGTTGCCATGTCACTAATTGCAGCATTGACCTTATCCAAAGTAATCCTTTGTTTCATGTACCTGCAATTTGCTAATCTCAGAGGTACTACTTTATAAGAACAAAAATGATTGTCGAGCTTTGAGATACTTATTTGTTTTTTCAAACACGATGCATCTGAACTACCGGAATTGCAATTCACTTACGATGGGACAGAATTCAACTCCTCCGCAGTGACATACCACATTGGTGCGGAAGCCCGACCTTTCTTCTCCTGGAATACAAATCAACACTTAAATAGCACAAAACCGTTAAAACGTCATGAAGAGTAACATTATGCTGCATCTTTGATTCTGTTCATCTCAGTCTAATTGAAAGAAACAAAAGCTTTCCAGTGAGAGATGACTTAAATGAAGTGTGATGGTTTTGCTCAATGATGGACAGAGGGCCAAGCAACCATGCATCTATCTCTTTAAACTTTACACAAATTAACCAATAAGTCCTCCGTCATCACCTGGAAGAGGGTTTCGAGATGATGGCCAAGGTTATCGACAACTAGAGAAGGTATTTAGCAAGCCTAGTTCATATTACTTCCATTCAGTTTCTTTCTCCCTTGTTCCAACTTGGTAAACATACATGGATGCTTAGTGATAATTGATAATGCGCGAAGTATTTTGCTGACACTGATTTCACAGATCCCAAACTCAAAATATTAATCAAGTCACAGCTTTCAAAATGCTTACAGGTTAACTATTTATTCAAAATCAAGTGATTCTGCTACTTCATTGCCAGTCATAAAACAATTTATCGAAGAATAAGACTTGTGCTGCATAGACACAAATGAAATGACATTGGAGATTTCTTACTTTAGGTGCAGGCTCCCCAATTTTCAAAGAATCAAGTCCAATGTCTTCCTTATAGACTTCTCCTTGCACACTGAAACAAACATAATGAGATTATTGTATAATAAAAAGTTCAGTTAAATCACTCGAAAATAGCAAAAAACTGAAGATCATATTCATGCTTTTACATGGTTATAAAACTACATATAACACATTACCATTTGTTAGCATTCTGAGTAACATTAGCAAGTTTTTGAGGCATCGATGTTGGAACACAAGCAGAAATTCTCTCCAGTTTCTTTTGTTGTTTCAATGCCGCCTCTATTAATTTCTGCAGTACAATGAATGGACCACAACTCAGTTCTTCAGAAAATAACCATGAAAACGCTTAAAAATTGAAGCCCTAATTATGTGTTATATCCCCAAAATACACACATAAGACAGGAAATTAAAGAAAAAAGAATTGAGAATATTACTTTGGCTTTAGGTATAGCTTGAGCTTCGTCACGTAATCGATTTTTGATATTTTGGACCTGAAGCTCCATTCCAGTTAATGCTGCATCTATCGCCGATAAATCGCTGATGCTGCTGGAAGGATACACTATCCAACAAACAAAGACAAATTAACGGGGAAAAATCGAATGAAATTGGAATTAGGAAATAGTAGAAGAATTACTGAACTGTTTCTAGCAATGACGAGCTGTTGGAGCTCTGCAATTCGAGTGTTGAATGATGAAATCAAACCCTCCAGTGACGCTCCAGCTTCACGCGCTTCCATTCTTCCCCTTTTCTACCTACCCCAAGAAAAGATTCTGTTCTGAGATTAAAGTTGAAATAGCGATTTCTTTTTGGCAGTCTCAAATATTTTGGAGGGAAATGTTGGGCCCGGATTAGAAGATACTAACTATTATGTAATTTTCATTATACTGGAACTCGAGTACTATTTTTTCTGTGAAACTGTATAGTAATAATATCATTAAATTTATTAGCATGAGAAACTGAGTATTATATTAGACTAGACAAATACCCCAACTTTGAAAGCAAAATTTTTAAAATATGATTTAATCTTAAAATCTACAAAACATATTATTTCTTGTAAAATAATTAATTAATAATTAAATAGTTGTATCAAAATTAAATAAAAGCATTGCTTTAAAATTATTATTTGTGAAATATGTTAGCATAACTAGTTTCTAATTATAAAAAAGAAAGAAAGTAACTTTAAAGTCCTTTTTTAAGTTTGAGTTTACAAATACACCCATTAAGATGTAATATTAATTACAAACACATTTCATCATCCATGGAGGTCACTTGTACAATATAAAAGACATCAAATTTCACAAGTGTATAATAAACATTTTATATAGATAACTAATTTATAAATGATGAATCTGTACATATTTTAGGGGAAAATGCAAGATACTCCCCTGTGTTATGTTAAACCTGCAAGAAACTACCCTGTGAAATTTTTATTGCGCCAAACTTCCTTGTGTTTTTAAAAACCCTGCAAAAAACACTCAAGTTGTAAAAAATAGATCGTTTTGGATCGATATATTTTAAGAAATAATTTTAAAATTATATCATG